AAGCTTACTATACAATGAATGAGCATAGTTGAAAGTTGATGTTTGGAATTTTCTGGGTCAAAAGTTCTATTAAGATGAGAGATTACCCTTGTCACAGAAGGCAGAAAGCCTCTTTTAAGAAGTTGGTTGGGTGTGTAATCTCAAGGTTCACACTTGAGAAGTGAAATTGCCCAGGACTATATTGATTACACTCTATCCCTGCTGCTCATAGCAAAGAACTTAGATGGAAAAGATCCCAATTGATGTCTCTTGCTAACAGGCAGCAGGTATACTACGGGTCTATTCCTATGAGAGTATGCACAGATAATATGTCCTTTCCCTAGGTTTATTATAAAGGGAGAAAAAAATGGGAACTTTTTTTTTTTTTTAATCAATAGAGGAAGGTATTCAGAGTAGCTCACAGGATAGATAATTCTTGAGCCTCTTTCATTTCTACCAGAACAAGTTTAACAAGTATCTGTGGGCACCACGGTGACCAGCACTTTACAAAGTCCCTCTTTGGATCCTGCTGCCTCACTCTCCTCATGTTCCTTGCGATGGTCATTTGCGGCAGTGTCGTGACTAATAATGGTTCCTGTTAATTTTACTTCTCATGCGCCTCTAATGAGGAGAACAAAGACCTAAAATTACTTAAGCATTTTTTTTTTCCTAGTTCCTGGCTTAAACACAGTTGAATTCTATAACATGATACAAATAGACTTGGAATGCTGTGTTTTGCTACCCAGGACTGTAAAGAGAGTTGATTGTGATGGAGAGTGTCAGAGAAGTCTTCATTGGGGAAAGGAAGTTGCAGCTGAGCTGGGAAGGTTGCGCACAGAGTCACGGTGGAGATGAACACTGTGTGTGTGGGGAGGCCGGGAGGCTAATATGAGACAGGTCTGCATTTGGAGAGTACAGTAATAGGCTGAGATTATGGAGTTCCTCCAAAGCCAGTTAGACCTAATGCAATAGGTTTGGCAAGAAGCACTTGAAAATTACTTGAGAGTTAAGATTAAAAGGGTAATTACAAGAAGTCTGGAAGTCGCAGGGTTGAGGGGTAGTGTGTGTGAGGGAGGGTAGCAGGGAACCTTCTTTCTTACAGATTTTGTGCCCATGTAAAGGGACGTCAATTAGACTAACACTCTTGCCTCTCTCCCTCCTTTGTACCCTTCACTCCTGGGAGGTGCGACTTACGGGCAGACTTAGGAGGAACAGGCATTTAGAATTTGGTCTCTCTCACAGGAGAACTAATTCTGGTTGCTCCTACAAGGCCAAACTGGAATTTGGAGTTACCATGTAGCACCAGGATACTTGTGAAGGGTTTGGTGACCCAAAAAAGTTAAACTGGTAACTGAAATGGCCAGGAAGGAGACGGACTAGACTTGGGAGCCTGTTTAGTTTGATTAAGGTGGTGGCCATGAGAATGGAAACTTTTTTTTGAGAACTGATAGAGGAAATAGTAGTAAAAGGGGAACTCTTTGGTGACAGTCATAAGCTAATTGAATCCTTCCCTAAAGAAGACAGATCTTTGGTGAGTGGGCAGTACAGAAATGACTCAGGTGCCAGGGAGCGGGGCGGGGAATGCCCCTCTTCCTCTTCCGCTGCAGTAATTATTGTCCTTAAAGCACAGCACTGGCTACCGTCAGACGAGGAGGAGAGGAAAAAGGGTCTTCACCCTGAAAGCCCTGTTGAAAGTGGAAAGCGATGGGTAAACAAAGAGCTGTTTTTGTTTTTCTGTATGTGTGTATGTTTTTCAATGAGGAATTACTGTCTTGTGGTTGCAGGATGAAATTTATAGGCACAGCAATTCATTTTGATCATTCTTCTATATTTCACGGAGGCATCACAATAATCTTTGTCAGTGGTCCCATCTGAAGTTGGGATATTAGTTAATTTGTGATATTAATAATTTGTGATATCAGTTAAGACAGATATTATATTTGTAAAATTGAACACTTTATAATCGTGTGTGTGGGTTAATTATATGAGTTGAAATAATATGGTCTGGGGAAACAAAAGCTGAACTATAATATTAATGAAGCTTATATTTAAATATATAACTTCTATTTTGTCAATGGAAAAAAATATTAAAAATTAAACTTCAGCCGAAACGGGTTTAGCTGAGTGGCTAAAGCGTCGACCTACGGACTGAAAAGTCTCAGGTTCAATTCCAGTCAAGGGCATGTACCTTGGTTGCGGGCACATCCCCAGTGGGGAGTGTGCAAGAGGCAGCTGATCGATGATTCTCTCTCATTGTTGTTTTTAACTCTCTATCCCTCTCTCTCCCTCTCTGTAAAAAATCAATAAAATATATATTTTAAAAATTAAACTTCATTAGATCTAGTAGAAAATAGCAGTTGTTAGAGAAATGGTAGTTCTCCAGTGCTCTACAATCAAAGATAATTAATACACCCCAAATATTAATAATGTCTGATATAAACAGGCACTCCAGAGAGGAATACACTGCCCAGGGAATAATTTTCTGATCACATTTGCTTTCTTGATTCTTCTTTTCAAGAAAGTACACTACGAACTCTGCCCTTAAGTATGGGCCATTTCCTATGACTAATCCCCCTTCTTCTGTATCCAGTCACTATACCTCTTTAGAAAGATCTGAGCCGAGGTAGGGAACATGATTGAAACAATGCATTTCTTACCCCTTATTCTGCATCAGGAAGGTGAGGGAACTTTTGAGACTCCCTCAGAAGATTTCTTACCTAGTTCACCCCAGGACTTCTCAGCTGCCACGTCGCTGGCACAGTTAGAAAGAAGTGAGGATTTAGTCAGGTTTGCTACTGGTGTGGACCCAATTAGTGTAGAATTTCTAGTTCATGGTAGTCATTGTAAAAAGCTCCTGAGCAGGAAAGAAAAGGAGAGGAAAATTCCTAGCTAACAGCGACAGAGGTGATTTTTATTGTACTCAGGGCTGTGTAGCTGAGCTGCTGGGCAGGAGGGACGGGGATGGAGGGTCGCTTGGTTAGGAGTCTTATGAAAAAGGTGGAGCTCTCATCAGTGCTGGTGGAGATGAGAGGGGAGCACTAACAGCACTGCTGGCCTTACTGCAGTATCAGAGCAGAAGGTAACCTGAGAACAGGCATTCATTATCTCTTCCTACAAAGGGATTAGTGTGGGTTGCCAGAAACCAGTGGCTTTTGCGCTAGCACAGAAATACAAATGAATGTCAGGACCAGAGCTGTAAAGCAGGTGAAACAGGCTCTTCCCTGCCTCATTTCTTTCCTTCTCTCTCTGGTTTGCTATTTTAAGATCTAGATCTGTGTTCCTCGGCTTTTGTTCAGCCAAGATCAAAAATCATGCCCTTTGGGAGTGAAATTTGTCCTCACTTGGGAATGAGTCAGTTAGCTTATGACTGTGTCCAATGTGTGTCAGCAAAGAGGTTGAGAAACATGTGAGAAATAAGTCTCTACCAGAGAGGACTGCTCCCTCTAGCAGGGTTATCATTTCCATGCCTGATAAAAGTATCAGGAAATCTCCCAAATAATGTCCTCTTTTATTAAATATCAAACTTGTTTGTGTTTAGTCATTGATTAGAGATGGCATGACCAGATAAACAGGTGGAAGGGAATTATACCTACTATATGCTGGGCATTGTGCTAGAAGCTTTATTTCTAATTCAACAAGTTCCTTTAAAGCACCTTCTATGTACCAGGTAGCCTATCTAATAAAGAGGGAATATGGTAATTGACCCTCATGCCATCGCAAAGATGGCAGCGCCCACAGCCAATAAGGCGGGAATATGCTAATTGACTGCCATGCCCTCAACGATGGCAGCACCCAGTCCCCGGTGGGGCAGCAAGGCTGGGCCCGTCCTGAGATGGGCCTGGCTGCTCCATGCACCCGCCTCCCGAGTCCCCCAGTCCCATTAGCTCCCCAGCCACCCAGGGCTGGCTCGAGGCACAGCAAGCCTCAGATGGTGGCTACCCAGCCTCCCACGGCTACCTGAGGCTCAGGTAACCAAGGCCAGCTGAGGCTTACGCTTCCGGCAGTGGCAGCAGCATAGGTGTGATGGGTGTTGCCTTCCCCTGATTGCCAGGTAGCTTCCCTCCCCTGAGACTCCTGGAGTCTGAGAGGGGGCAGGCCAGGCTGAGGGACTCCCCGCCTCCAATGTATGAATTTTCATGCACTGGGGCTCTAGTTGCATTATAAATGGTTCTGATACAGCTTGATAAGAACCCGTGGAAGAGGATTTAAATATATAACTGATCCTGATCCTGGGGTGTGCATGTGCAGGCAGTGGATGGGAATAGTGGGGGGAGGGGGGAATTGAGTACAAAGCCCCCTGCTGGAAGAGGGGGTAGCTGAGTGAGGACAAGTGTCTGGGAGCTGGTGGGAAGGAGCTTTGTGAGTGGAGGGAACAGCATAAGCACAGCTGAGCTCAGAGGTGAGAACTCTTATCTAAGAGACCTAAGGAGAGAGCTTGACCTAATGAGTCAAGTCTGGAGAAGCGGCTCTGAGAGGGAGGCTCATGAACTGGCCTTGAAGACTAACAGGGCATCTGAGAAGCAGGATCGGTGAGCAGTGCACTCCTGCTCGGTTCTTTCTGTCGGCCCTGCCTGGCTTCAGCACCTGAAAGATGAGGATTAGCAGGGAGTCAGGCCAGGTGGCAGGAGGAACCATTGTGTCTCGTGTATTTGGACTCTGCAGAACGTTACCTAGAAAACAAGAAATCCTGGCACAGTGTCTCGGGGCACAGATAGTCACATGCTCCCGCAGTAAGTCTGTTTTCCACACAGACTTCTGCATGTCACATCTGCTCCCTGATTCCTACTCTTGTACTTTTTATTCCACCCTCGTTACGTTTTTTGGACCTGCCATTTCCCCAGTGACATCGGACTATCTTGTAATTCTATTACCTCCCCTGTGCTGAGTTGGAACTGGGAAGGTACCCGCTCCTGGTCCCCTTGGTTTCTCGCCCCTGCCTTCTCATCTCACTCGATTTACTCGTATGAACGAAGGAATCCATTGCTCTTTTGGTCTTGTTTTTTTTTTTCTTTTCTTTGTAGAACACAAGCAGGCATTCCCCAACATTCTGAAGAAAGGCCACCTGGAGGTTCGGAAGGACCACGACAGCTGCTGGCAGAGCTGCTACGCAGAACTCTCCCCTTACGACCTGCGCCTCTACAGCCGCGACGGCAGCGGGAACCAGAGCCTGTCCGCCACGCACCCGCTCTCCCACTTCCAGAGCATCTCCGTGCTGGGCAACCTGGAGGCCAGGCTGGTGGACACCGTGCTGTCCGACAGCACGCAGCTGCAGCTGAAGGCGGAGTCCCCGTGGGAGGCGTTGGACTGGGGGCAGAAGCTCTGGGAGGTGGTGCATGCCGCCGTGCCCGGCGACGTGGGGCGGCGGGACGAGCTGGCAAACTCGCCGGGGCCCGGCTACCGCTTTGACGGCACACAGAGCCACTGTTTCCAGAAGCCCAGCGAGCTGCTCGCCCGGCCCCCCGTCGGGGACGGCCCCAGACAGCACCAGGACGTCCTCAAGTCCGGGACGCTGTACCGGCTCACCATGCAGAACAACTGGAAGGCGTTCACGTTCGTGCTGAGCAGGGCCTACCTCATGGCTTTCCAGCCCGGCAGGCTGGACGAGGACCCGCTGCTGAGCTACAACGTGGACGTGTGCCTGGCCGTCCAGGTGGACGCCCTGGACGGCTGCGACTCCTGCTTCCAAGTCATCTTCCCCCAAGACGTCCTCCGCCTCCGGGCAGAGACGCGGCAGAGGGCCCACGAGTGGATGGAGGCTCTGCAAATGGCAGCCAACGCGGCGAGGAGCTCCGAGCAAAACCTGCAAGTCACCCTGAGGAACAAGCCCCAGGACCCGACGGGCGGGCACGAGCTCAGGAAGAGCAAGCGGCAGTCCGTGACCACCAGCTTCCTCAGCATCCTGACCACGCTGGCCCTGGAGCGAGGGCTCACCGCCCAGAGCTTCAAGTGCGCAGGTAGGAAGCCGCCTCTCGGCCTAACGCTCATTGCACCATGCGGAATCTCACCTTTAGAGTTCGGTTTAAAAATCCCCCCGGCAGGCCAGCCGCAGCTCCCTGCAGTTTAACAAGCTGTATTAGGACGTCTGTTTGTCTTCACACCATGCTGGGGAAGTAAGTATAGAAGCAGAGATGAGAGACCCCATTGGCTCACGGTGGCTTGGCCAACCTGTGCCTCACTAGACGAGGCCTCCTGCGCCTGCCGGAGCCTGTTTCCTCCGCCTCCTGAAGCCAAGGCCACTGAGGGTGGAGGCCACGGCGGTCTCCTAGGAGACCTTCAGCCCCAGAGCTGACGACTGACATTCTTAGACGAGGAGCATGTCCATGGTCAGTCATTGCCATGGCTCATGACCTTGTCAGATCCTGTGAAGGTGGAATCTACGGAGTCAGCCTGGACAGAAATGCGGACGGGGGGCGGTGACTAAGCAGATGACCTCTGAGTCACCATGGGCCTGTGCCTTATCCTGGGGAAGTGGGGCCTCTGGAACCAACGTGGAAGGTGAGAGACGGTGGAGTCACGGTTAACACCCTGTCCCTGCTTCTCTCCCCTACTCCCCGGCCGGCCTCTCACCTTCCCCAAAGCAGCAAGCCTAATCGGTATGCCTTTTGCTAAACCCCCCTGTTTGTGATGAGAAACGCACCAGGCAGGCAGCGTTAATTGTCCCTGCTTTCCCCGGGGGGCCTCAGGGCTGGAAGCAGAAGCTTGCCTGTAGGGTTGGAGCCGAACTGGGTGATGAGCACATACACCCGCAGGCGCAGGCAGGGAAGGCCTGTCGTGAGCCAGCCTTTGGCTCTGGGAAATGGTTTTGAAATAAGGAGACACTGGTGTTACTGCAGTTCCTTACAGATGATTGATCCTTCGGCATTTCATTATACTAGTTGATGGAGTATATTTCAAAGTCCCGGCATTCGACAGTAATTTCCTGAGAGCTTGCTTTGTGCACATTCTGGAATTACAGCACACGTCTCCAGTTTTAGATCGCTGACAGGTTCAACAAATGTGCTTGTCATTGCAATCAGGGAGAACAGTTCAGGTTAGCTCTCAAACGTGAGCAGCTGAACTGGAAACTTTCTAGTAAAAAGGGAAGAAAAGCCGCAGGTGTAACATAAGGATTGTCACCTGGTTGTTGCCTAATTCACCTCCCTCTCGTGAGTTTGCTTCGCGGGGCGTGAGCGCTGTTTTGTGTGAGGGGAGAGATGCCAGCGGAGGGTGCCATGCCGCAGGCAGCGCGTCAGTGAAGCAGGAAGAGACGAAGGTGAGTGGAGAGGCCGGAGAGGAAGCCAAGTAGAAGGGAACAGGAGAAGGACTAGATGATGGGCAGGGAGGAACTTGGGGTGGCTGCTTTGGGTGCCATGTATTTGGGTGCCCCCCTTGGCTGTGCTCCCTACAGTTGGTTGGTTGGAGTGTAGGTGGATGGGTGGCAGTGAGGAATCCAGCAGACAGGTAAGGTGGTCTAAAACTCCTTTGCTCTGCTCAGCACTTACTTTCAGGTTTTGGTTTGGAGTTTTAATAGGGCGCAGGCGGCATTTTAATTTGGGGTGGGGAAATGTCAGTCCTAATCTGTGTAGTGTGGCCAGGCCCCAAGCCCAACATTTTCATCCCATTTCTTTGCGCTCTCTTCCATCAGAAACTGCTGTGCGTGGTTGCTCTGTGACTGAGTGGTTTTTCCGTCTGCTTTTCCTTTTCCCTCTCTGCCTGCGCTTCCTCCTCAGGTGGGGATGCCTCCTCTCCTGCAGGGGGCAGAGTCTCAAAAGAAAAAGGCAGAAGCTTGTGAAGCAAAACTCCGAATGGTTTTTAAATTACTTGGGAGGCTGTTCATTATATCAGGGATTATTATAGCAGATGGAACTTTAAAAATTGATCTATGTTTCTCGCAAACACAGTTAATCTAAACCAGCTGCTTCTCCGTGTAGCACTTGTGTTCCCCAGCTCTGCGTTCTCATAAAAACACTCACTCGGTGGAAAAGCTGGTTCCATAGCGTGTTTACCTTCCAGAGGGCCGGCAAGTCCAGTCGGCTGTTTGTAGTTGAGTCTTGGCTTTGCCTGTTATTTTAAGGAGAAGCTAATTCACAATATTTCGTGGTTTTAGTGAGCCTCTTCAGACTGTAAGTTTTTTACGTCCACTGAGTCCCTCCCCCCTGTGAATATTTTTGATGAATAAGCCTTAAAAGTGGAAGATTGCACTTGAGTAGCTCTTTATTAATGATGTCATTCCGTTGCTATTCAGGGGAGCCACAAACGTTGGCTTTCGAATCTACAAAATAGAGCAGTTGGCCTTGTTGCGCTAAATTCTTTCTGTAGGTGAAGAATTTTCGATATTCTTCCAAACTTAAAGTGCCCCTGCAGAGAAAATGGATCACAACCACCCAAAAATGTCTGAGGTTATGGTTTCGAAAATGCATGCTTATGTATGACTGCATAGTCCTCAGCATGCGCTCGAACTTTTTATAGTTGCATTTGGTTATGTGCGGTTTGGTCCACGACTTCCCCTCCGCTCAGGAAGCCCAGCCACGGGGGTCTTCTCGCCATTCTGGAACTTGCCTTGGCCAGTCCCGTCTCCACAGCCTTTCCCCGTGCTCTTCCCTCTTCCTGAAAAGATGCCTTGGAAAATGAACTTCTTCCCTTCTGTCTTTCGCTGTGTTATAAGCCTCTGACCACGTGCCACGACCTGGGTGCACCTGGGCAAGTCCGTGCTGCAAGGAAGTGGCGTGGGCCCTGCTCTCATGGGACGTGCATCCCACCAGGGAAGCCGACGTTATTTATATCATCACTTCATGCATGCCCAGTGGCGACCGAGACAGGAGCTCCAGAAGGCTGGCCCAGAGACCTGTCAGAGGCTGGCCAGGTGGATGTAGGAAATCGCAGATATTGGTCGCCCTACTAAACCCGGGCAGCTTGGCGAGGCTGGACCTGATGTCCGCCCCTCAGCTGCAGGAGGTTCTGGGCAGGGAGCGGGGGGACAGCGGTGTTTGGGGAGAATTTGGTGGCGCTTCAGTGCAGCTTTTCAGAAACACCTACCTCTGCAGCAGCAGATGCGGTCCACGTGGTTAGGGACGTTGCCGGCTGGGACTCAGAATTGTGTTTGGCAGTGGGGAATGTGCGCTATTAAAATATTAATGCTAAGACAATGATTATGCGACTTATTAAAATATTTATAAAGCAGGTACCTGTAAGTGCTTCTCAGCTGGGCTGCTCACGGAGGGCTGTCATGTAAGGCAGCAGCGGCCCTGTTGTCCTCGGGAATCTGGCGTGTGTACATGCCGGCTTCCCCTCAATAGATAAGGCTTGCTTGGCACTAGCACACAGAGATTTTCTCCTGAAATCTCCCCCAATCAAGATACCTCGCAAATGAGTCCAGAACCATCCATAAAAGGGCCCAGGGCCCTGCTTAGGCTGCATCAGGGAGACCAAAGCTCGCCTTGGAAAGCGGCCTGTCCTTACTGCTTTGTAATGGGGAAGTGAAGTCGGATGGCCCGCAGTGGGGCAATGTTCCTGATTCTGAGGTTGACAAGGAAGAGGCTGCCAGAAAGAGGGAGCCCTGCGGACCCCTCGCCATTGTCACTCTGTCAGTTTGCATGGGTTTGCTTCTCCGGCTGCTGTTTAACCTCTGGGGGCTGCTGTTGGTAATTACATCTCTCTGGCTTTAAGAGCTTTTTGCTTTCCTCCTCCTGGCATCCCCCTCCCCCCAGCCTTTGGGAGGGGTAAACCCAAGGTGGGGAGGGTGGGGGGAAGTTTTGCTGTGAATTCTTCAGCCATTTAGTGCAAATTCCTGTAATTACCGGCATTGTGTCCTCCCTGAATGGCACATAATACAGCAGAAGCCATTCCTAATTGAGACCTTACAGGAGGTACAAATCCTCTCTTTGTTCAGCCTGACAAATTAGTGCCAGAAAGTGGCAGGGTCCGAGTGGGAATCAAAGGCAAGGAACACAAAGATGGAACTTAAGGCTACAGTAATAATCCTCTCTTGTCCTGAGGGGGAAAAAGGAATGACCAGTGAAAAATGAAGTTTTTTTTTTGTTTTGTTATAAATTCCCTTGACATGACAGCACCTCGGGGCTGCTCTATTTATTTAGCAAAAGTGATTAAATAGTAATACAACAGGGCCGCCCATTGTCTGCCCGGGCCCCCACCTCCCAGACCCCTGCTGCCTCGGCTAATTGATTGACAATGAACCTCTGATAAAGAAGTATGTTGTTAGGGCCCGAGCTGGAGGAGCACTTTTTCCCTGTCTTTGTGTGTCTGAGTGTGTGTGTGTGTGTGTGTGTGTGTGTGTGTGTGTGAGAGAGAGAGAGATTTCGTTTTTGTTTGAATTGCCCTCTGGTTTTTCTTTGCCCCCTCCCTCCCCCCGCCTTGCTTTCTTTCCCCCAAAGCCTTTCAGAGCTCGCTCCCAGCTGACATTCACAAACAGGTAGAGAGGCAGGCATTAGTATTGTGGTGCAGGCTTTTGACAAGTTTATCTTTGGAGCCAACTTCCTCCTCTCCCCCTGCTCCATGTAAGGCAAAACAGCCGCGTGAGAAGAGGGAAAGAGGAAGGGGGGCTGATTATTGGTGCTTTAAGGTCAAAAAAAGTGTTGTTTTTAAGTTTCTCATTGGTGGGAACGGATGTCTGAAAGTTGTCTTTGAACTAAGATTTTTTTCCCCCTCTTAAATTCATTACTCAACTTGGGAAAGAAAATCTGTGCACTAATAGCATGGCTATGTTGGGGGTGGGTGTTGTGGAGTAAGAAGTAGACATTTGAATTATTCAGTCTCCCCTCAGTTCCTGCGAAGTGGGGATTGATTGTTTAAGGATGGAATCTGGCTGCATGTGGTGTAACTCGGTACTCCGAGGATGCTGTAAATCGTGGGGAGATGACCAAAGCCCTCCAGGCAGATAAGTAATAGCTCCTGGTTGTTACTTGTTATATATGCTCAACTAGCTCCACTGGAGCTAAATCCCCAATTTAACTCTGTT